GGGGGATCTCTGGTTCTTACTTTGAGTGTTGCTTCCTGGTTCCACTGCAGATTCTTCAGCCTGCTAGCACAGATCCTTCATCTTGCTGGCATAGACTTTCTAGCTTCTGCCACTGACCTTTGGGTCTTCCCAGCTCAGATCCATGAAACAGGCCTGCATGAGACATTGTCATGCGCTGTAGGCCTCCGGCTGGAGTCATGGAGGCATTGTTATGGGCTCTAGGTCTTTAGCTGAACTTATGCAGGACATTATCGGGGGATCCAGGCCCTCAGCTGGATTCTTTGGTCTTAGTGTGTGGACAGATTTCCTGCACTCTTTGTATATGATTCTTTGGGTGACTATTAAAAAATAATCTTATAAAATGTGTCCTGTACTATATTGTTCCCTCTGCAATATCCTAAACTACAAGTTTGTTATAGATGGCTTTTATCAGATTGAGGTAAACATCACCTATTCTGACTTTCTGTAGGGTTTTTATCATGAATGAGTGTTGGACTTTATCAAAAGCTTGTCTTGCATCTATTGAGATGATCATGTGATTTTTGTCTTTGGTTCTGTTGCTATGATGTATTACATTTACTGATTTGCATATATTGAACCATCTCTGTATTCCTGGGATGAATCCCACTTGGTCATTGTGTGTAATCTTCTGGATGACTTGCTGCATTCTGTTTGCTAGTATTTTATTGAGGATTTTTGCATCTATGTTCATTAGGGAGATTGGCCTGTAGTTCTCTTTTTTTGGTTGGATTTTTCTGTGGTTTTGGTATTAGGGTAATACTTGCCCCCAGGAATGAGTTAGAAAGAATTGTTTCCCTTTCATTTCATTAATGAGCTTGAGAAGTAGTGGTATTAGGTCTTTTCTAAATTTCTTGTAGAATTGACCTGCAAATCCATCAGGACCTGGGCTTTTTTTGCTGGTTAAGTTTTTAATTACAGTTTCAATTTCATTGACTGACATTGGGTTATTCAGAATTTTTATATTTTCTTGATTCAGCTTTGGTAATTCATATGTTTCTAGGAATCTGTC